AAGAATGCATGTAATTACACTTCAACAGTTTAAATCTAAGTTCTTAACTTTACAGTATGGTAAAAGTTGATCAATGAAGATTATAAACAGTTTGAAACGTCTAAAAGTATTTAAAGAAAAATAGAATCTAAATTAATATTTTACACACAATTTGCACATCACTACACAGGTATTTGGTATGCACAAAGCCAGTTGCAGTACTCGGCGAAATAGGTAAAATCTAAAAATACCGAGTACTGTTTGCGCTGTCACTTAGCACGGAATAATAAAACGCAAAGTACCCACTGTGCGTTGGAATTGTTTTGTTACCGTAGGGCTGAAGGTGTGAGGCTGAGTCGTGTTTGAGCCTACGTGAATATTATTACGTTATTGTTTTATTATCTGTCAAAATAACAAGATTTACGACTCCATAGAACGCTGGTAGCGTGAAATTAGATTGACGCTCCTACGTTTTTAGTAGTTTTTTTTTTGTCATAAGAAACGATCTAGAATGTGTGTACACTTGATAACTACCAACAAGGAAACATATTAAATTTAAAAACGTATATACTAAAAAACGCAAAGAAAAATAAAATAACGACGCAAAATCCTGAAAGTGTTGTCATAAAAAAGGTAGTATTTTTCATAAATATGTATCTATTTTAAATGCTTAACGGGTGCCAGTTGTGTTTTATTTCAGTTAATTTTGTTCAATCTTATATCGATTTTTTTCGTATAATTTTACATGAAATATTTATATCACAATTATTGCCGAAGCCTCAGGATATAGTATAAAACTTCTAACTTCTAAACAAAGATGACTTTTTATTATCTATATATTAATAAAAAAAATATTGTCGAGCTAACGCGTTCTGGCGTTGCAGTTGGGCACAGACAGAAGACAAAGAGACACATAATAGTATATTAAAAGATTAGTATTTATTGTCGCTTCTTTGCGAAAAATCTCAATGAAAGAAAATAATCAAAGTCAAAGTGATCTATCTGCCTCCTTACTAAAACTAGTTTCCTTCCCCGGAATGAAAATTAAGGACTACTAGTACACTATAGAGTTAAAAGCAATGCGTTTTCAAGTGATCCGGCGGGTGTTTTAAATTAATATCTTCGCAGCTTCGTGGAAGTCTGCGAGGCACACCCTATAGGTCAATATCCATGCTAAATAACAATATTATTGTTGGAGATGGGTGTGCGCAAACATTGCATGTTTGCTTTACATTTTGCGCAATTTTCACCTACCAGGGGGATTTTACGCAGTTTCTGACTTGAAATTGTACTTTAAAACTATTTTTGATACTTCATACATAGGAGGGTAGCATGATAGTTATTTCATGGATGGTTTAGCCATGTATTTACAAACATGATTCGCTGTAGACCTGTTTAAGTTTGAACATTAAAACTAACTCAAAACCGTAGGTACATATATGTTGAAACAATACAAAAATCGCTATTACACTTTATGGCGTTTCCATTAGAGGACAGTACTTCGTTGTACAAAGCATTTAATATCTATTTTTGGGCAAAAACTATAATGTCAAAAAATACCCTGGTTCAAAGTTCGATTCCAAACTCGTTTATCTCAATAATTAATATCTGCTATGGACTTAAAAGCCGCTTTATATTTTTATTATTATATTACATTTTTATTTTCTTGCGGCGTTAGTCGAAAATAATTTTCATATTAAGCCAGCTTCAGGCAGCAACAGAAGCAATCACAATACCGATCCGATGCTAATCTTTAAGATTATCCGGAAAATAGACCTGAAATATATTTTCGATTTTTTAAAATCAAATGGATAAAGTTCGTGTGTACGGTTTTGAGTTTGATTTTTCTTTAACTAAGTAGGTACCAATTAGGTATAGGTACCATGCCAAAAAACGTAAAAACGGTGTATATTGTCTATAGTTTACGCGAGTAGTACACATTTAAATAAAACACTTTAAGGTTTAAAAAGGATATATTAGTTAAACTTATTTGAAAATGATTTTTAACTTCGGGAGTTTCGGATGCTTTGCAGCCGCCTGTCAGGGGAGACTCGTATATGGTTTAAACCGTTAAAGTGTTTTATTTAAAAACGGTGTATAGTTAATACAATTTAGCTCTAAATTTTTACATAATATATCCACTTAGTCGATTTTACTTAGAAAATATTAATGACATTGAGCAGTTAAACTAAAATAACAAAGCAATGGAAAACATATTATATCTATTTAATAATGATTAAACAACATATTCCGTATGAAAATAATTGTCTAGCACCTGCTACAGAGACACTAATAGGTGATTATTGTGTTATCGAATTAATTTGCCGTTACATTGATCGATAATCATATTCACCTTTCAGCTGTTTCAGTTATTATAAATTGATATATTTTATAGCAAAAGTGTGACCAGCTTATTCAAAATAACTGTATCTAATAGGTATTGTAATTGTTTTGTCCTTTAAGATCTTATTAACTATAATATATACATGATAAGTAAAAATAAAATTCCCTGTTTTATAATCTTATAGTGTTTTTTTAACTTACAAAATTTAGCCGTTTTCAAACTATGAAAGTGAGGTCATTGAAATAAGTAAATTGTAAGGTAGTTCAATTAGCTTAATATGAATTTTGGCATGAAATAGTAAGCTGTAGTCAAAATATCCATTTCATCAAAACACACTTATTTCAAGATGATTAAATATGTACAGTATTTTTCCGATAACATGGATTAACAAGTTTTTGTAAATAAAAAAAAGAGTGACTACTGACAAGACCTTTGAGTGGTTTAAATTTATTAAGAATTCTTATTTTTTTACTAAATTATCATAAAACAAATATCTAAATTGACTTCAATGAAATTTCTCAATAAATAAATTGAACATTGATAATTTTGTGGTACGCAGGCAGGCACCAATTGAATAGGTAACTCGGGAGTTGTTTTTCGTTTACACTCCTGCGCTCAATCCTTGTACCTAAATTATAACGTTGAAAATTGAAATTTACCTACCTAATGCTCTTTGTTAATTATACGAAGTAGGAAAACTTAAAAAACATCTGTGTCTATAAGGAATTCGCTAGATATCCTTCCTAACTAAGAAAATTGTTAGTCAAATAAATCTCGCAGTAACCCCAAAATGCAGGGGTCGCTTGCATTAGCAGAAATAATGTCTCGCTCAAAACGACCCCCGTTTGTAAATCAATCAACCCCCTTACATTACGTTTATTGGTTAAACTTTGCAAGATTTAATGGATTTCGGATTTTTGATTAGCGTCTCCTTTTAGGGTTATAGCATTTCTTCAAATGAAAGCAACACTTATTAGATTAGTAATGATAAACCAAGCCAGAGCTTGTGAATTATTATTTCGTATCAAACATTTATAGGTATTTATTAACAACAAGATATCGACATACAGGTGTTTGTAAATAGAACTGACATATGCATGTATCAATAAGTTGAAAAAATTCGCCGATGACGCGTAGGACTTGGCAGCTCAATTGGTTAGTCGTTAGAGCAAAATCACAGAACGCTGTGGATGCCGGTTGAGATCCTGCCCGAGTCAATTTTTTTTTTTCAATTTTTAATTTACATCAATAAATAAACAATTGGAAGAGTTAGAGATCTCCATCACACGCCAACAAGTAATCATATCTTCAATATCTTTTTTGTATATTAACAAAGAAGTATAAGTAGGTATACCGAATAGGTATGCTTAATAATAGATATATGTATAACCTCATGTTATAACTGAAAGTATTAAGGCAATACGTAATAGTAAAATCATCTAATAATACTAATAAAAATTATAGGGCACCTTAAAAAAAGTCAGATTGAGTTTCTTGGGTGTTCTTCTCGGTTATGTTACTCTTTTGAACACTGTAGAATCACGACGAACGGACAGAAAAACATTTTTTTTTTGACGAATCTAAATATTTTTTGTAAATATTGTAGAGAATAAAGTCATTTTTATTTTATATTTAATTATATACATTTAATTGCCTAGGAAATGTACGTACCTAAAAACTATTTATTGTTTTGCAAATGTATAGTACAATTAATCACTTAAATAATAAAATATGTTTTTTACCTTTTAACACAAAATTGTTTATTAATGCCAAGGTCTTAATTATACAAAAAAAAAACAAGAGTAAGTAAACGCACGCACAGCCGGACCACAGCACAAAGATAAAGATCACAATTTTCTCAATAAAATAACTCAACTGTTGCGAGATTTTAATCAAAATTAGCAGATTTTAGCCCGATACGCCAGAGCTGTTTGATTTTACACAACTCTGTTATGCGGGATGCGTTTAGTTCATTTATAACTAACACGCGTATTTAAATTTTTTTATGATATTGCTTAGCCATGGTAAATTTGAATAATTAGGTATTTATATTACACACAATAATAACTTAGATATAGTCTACTTTGAAATTAACATGTTTGATATAGAAGAATAAATTTGAAATGCTAAATAACCACAGACAAGAAAAATGTTGAGAAGATGTTTTTATATTGGCAAAGACATTGTCTACTATGGAGATACATAGGTATTCCATTTTCAAATTTAGGTGGTCCAGGTCAGTGCGTCATAGGTATAGGGATTAAAATTTGGTACTAAAAAGTCTAAAGTACCTAGGTATTAGGCATATAATATAAGTCCTAGTTTTCTGCGCTATCTATTTATTTTGTTTTAGCAAAATTAACTAAATAAATCTTATTAGACAGAGTAGGTAGGAAGGTGGGTTGATGACCTATTACTGTTAGGTCAAATCTTTACTTATACTAAATAGCTTCACTAAAGTAACTCTCTTGTCAATCTGCCTATGGAGAACAATATCATGTTATATTTAGTGCAAGTTTAGGTCATCTTTGTGTTAAACAAAAAATGTTAATAAAAACATTTTTACTAATTTTCGGATTTAGATACATAACAGATGTAGTGAACAACCTGTGATTGAAGTCATAATACGTGTAGGTAATTTAGAATGAAATGGGTTATATAGAAATAAGGTACTTACTAGGCATCATCTCGACATGAGACGAAGTGTCCATTATATTATGATGGTGCAGCATATCTGGCGGGGAATGCACCATCCCGCCACCACCACTGGCCATCACCATCCCTGAATCAGGTTCTACCACTGGCCTAAACAACACGGGTCCCAAAGACCGAGCACAGCTGTTCTTCACACTATTAATGCTAGCAGTTCCGGCTCGACGCTAATTCTTCTAATCAAATATTTTGTCAAAACACTGGCTACTTTTACCCTATAACGCTTATTAGTAAAGTTCAACACGCTAATACTATCACAAAACACTAAATGTACTACGTTGTGAGGCACTTCGACATTTTTTTTATAAAAATAAGAATGAAACGCTACACCCTCTCCCGGCAAAGGCCAAGCCCATACTGCCGTACTATATGTATTTTTGTATGGATCGACGCCAAAGCGCATGAGTAAACCGACCTTCTATCGGATTGGTGAGTTGTTAGAACGCCTTTTTGAATGCCACCCGATCATTGGTCGGAAGCTTCTCATTTTCCCGCCCCGCGGTTATAGACCCTCACAAAATGGCGACCCCCTCACAGGCTTTTGATGCTTTTTTGAACATTTTCTCGGGTAAAAAATAATCCTGTTCGGATATAATGAGTATGATTTATGATTCGGTCTTTTTGTGGTCGGCAATCTAGTTTTGTTGATCTTCAATGTTTTAGGTTTTAATTGTGTACCGATTTGAATATCGAATATTGTATTTTCCGGGTCGATTCTTTTGTTTGAAATTATGTAAAACTGTATGTGATATTGGGTAGTTATAAATTTATATATTGTGACTAACGTAATATAAATTTACAGCTTCGACATACCTTCACCGTTTTTTTTCTGCATTGTTCAGTCTAAATTAAAGTCTAGATTCTCAATAAGTGGTTACCTTAGACATTTTATGTTCAAGAACGTGATCGTATAGATATGTACATAAGTTTTGGGTTGCCTATTTGTCTCAAGTTGTAGTACTTGCAGATATTCTCATAACGCTGTTTTTTAATCTATTTCAAAATGAATAACAAAAGTTTTGATACAAATTGATGGTGGGTACTTAAACATATTTAATTTAAGTAAGTCTAAATTAGGTTATTTTTTGTGCCTACTCGTAAGGTAAGGTTTCATAGTACAATTCTTGCAACTCCACACTTAATTCTTAGAACTCATCTCTTTGTACCAACGACAACCCTATTAGACACCCTTTGAGGACACAGATAATGTAACAGCATTATTACGTAAAAAGCGCTATCTCAAACATCTGCACCTTTACTATTTCCGTTTCCTACAAAATCTCTCGCAAAACGCCGGCTGTTTTAAAAATAAACTGTATTTCTGCAAACCAAGGCCTATTTCGGTAAAACTCTTAAAGAAACAACTTGCAAATGACTATCTTTAACCTGAACCTTGTTGTAACAAGTAAAAGTGGATTTTCGTATAACGTATTTATAATCTACAATCGTCACATCTGTGAGATAACTATTATCTAAGGAGCTATATTATCTGTGGCTAATGAACTTCGGCGCGAACATTTGGCGCCAATTTTTTATAACCTCACACGTCGACTGTGTCATTAAAAGCTTTGTTTTCAGTGATGTAGTTAAATCATGATTTATTGAAGAGTAAATAGACAAATCAACGGTTGACATTCTTCTTCATGACAAGGTCTGTCTACATTTTATGGTTATTGTTTTAGGGATTCGACTACTCATGTTTTATATGCAAATAGTAAAATCTTATTTTATAATACTATGACATTTTATTTGAAGTTACAGAAAATAGGTCATTTACGTACTTAATGTTAGGAGCTAAATTATGCTATGAATTATTGTGTTTGTCATTTCCGAACTATAACCGAATATTACCTATTATTTCAATGAGTAAAGTACTTTTAAGAAGAGATGCTACTCATTTTAAATAGCGATATCTTTTTTATTTTTGAAAAAAAAAATATTCGGTTTAAATAATAATAATTTTAATAAATGTAAGTTCATTTTTGTTCAACGGGATTTGTACAGATCCCAAACTTTTTTTATAAAATATAAATAATAATTACTTACATTTAATTTATTCACTTACTAGGTTGAACGGGCAAGTTTTACAAGGACTTCTTACGTAATTTTTTGGAAAAAAAGAAAGAAGTGTTCCCTCGAAGATTTCGCTCAAGGGCAGGGAAAGGATTTTAATTTAAAGATACCTACTTAAAGGTATGTATGTATATAGTCGCATGTGTGAACTTGTAAAATCAGAAAATCACACTCATTTTCTTTAAACGGACTCGACGGTGTAATTATCAACGGATAGTGGATTCGATCCCCATCGGGTCTCTATCTCTAATCACTTTATAATTTTTAAAACATATTGGTCTTCGTCTAATCTGAATATAAAATGGATAGTAGGAATATCGAATTTTCGTTTAGATTCCAGTCTGTGAATTTCCGAATATCCAAAGCCAAAATAGGCCGACAGCACATCTCGTTAAGATGTTATACCTATGCCTGGAGTATTTCACCTTGCATCAAGTGAAGACCTTGTCACCTCCTCTATCACAAAAAACCCTAAAAACGATAAAATCGAAAAATAGCTTTCCATACAAAATGAAAGATTGGTTCATCAATATAATTTGTAGCGTATGATGGACGGTCGCGTGATCACAATTAGCGTATTGCTGGGGTCGGAATTAACTTTATATCTACAGATGTGACCACGCGATAGGCGAACGCTTTTTATGGTTACAGCAATCGAACATTTCTTTTTTATTATTCAACCATTTTTAATTATTATCTGTTTATAATCAGATGGCAGGTTATTGTTTTTTTATCAAAAACATATTTATTTAAAACGTCTATAATCGTCTCATACATTATTTAGTTTTAGTTATGCAATAAGTATTCGATTTTAAGTATATATTGAATATTGATTTATCGGGATTCAAATTTAATATTTCACGATATTTTTTATTTCTATAATGTCCTCACAACTTTTAAAGCAATATATAATTAACCAACATACAACTAACTAAATATTTTAAAATTCCGATTCTTAATCCTTTTTGATGATTATCTACGTATTAAAAAAAACTTGTACCAGATGGTCTTATCAATATCTCCACGTAAAGATTTTTAATCTATTATTGAAAATCGATACAATGTCACTTTTCGCGCCAAACGGAGTGTTAAACGCGGCTTTTGACAATGACATTATATTTTTGAAAATGGAACGACACAATGCGCTGTTGCGCTTTTGTCGGCTTTGAACACGCCTCACGTAGTGACTGACACATTTTTGTCGCCACTTCAAATGTTTTGTTGCGTAAGACATCACTTTTGTAGTCATTTGATAGGATTTTGGAGGCTTAGCGCGGCTTTTGCAGCGGATTTCGGAAAGTTATTAGCCCAGAAACATTATGAAGTTCTCCTTTCAGTAATCTCCAAAAACAAACCTTGTTAATATTATTAAGGCCACTGTTAAATAATATATTGAAAGGGTGATCTATAATTTAAAAATCGAGAATAAATTGAAAAATATCATTTTACAAAGAAACTGAATTTTTTTTATGAAACTCGGTAATCGTTAAGCTTAAAGTCAGTAGATACCACGCAAGGCGATCCACAGATAAAAACTAACATACTGTTTTTTTATTTTATTTTTTTATCTAGCTTTTTCAAGCCAGATAGATAATTACAGAGCAGATCCACGAAGCTGCCCGTCACAGATAATCCTTCACAAAGCTGTCATCGGCTAAACATTGTTCACATAAGACGGATTTTACGCTCGACGCCGTTTGATGCGATTATAGCCCATGGGCCTACTGGTATTCGGCAAAAAACTATTTGTTGCCTTACACCGAAATTCATCAAAGTATACGTTTAATCTATTTCTTAATACTGGTAAATATATTTGAGCTGTGGTATAATAACTATCAAGTATTGTCTTGTATTTGAAAACTGCTATATTTTTCAAATGTTATTGCGCACACACACTATGGCACTAGGTGTATAAATTAAAATTGAGTGCATGCATCACTAGGTTGAGATAATTAGACGATTGGTGTGTAGGACACAGTACTGCAATTGGATAGAGCAACAGCACGGAACGCTGTGGATGCCAGTTCAAGTTCTGCCCGAGTCGTTAAAAATTTACAATCATAAATCTATTTTTAATTTATTGTCGTGTATTTTCTTATATAACTATTGTAGTTTACGCTAGTAATACACATTCAAATTAAACAGACATGTCAAAATATAAAACTTCAACTTTACATTCGGTACACCCTCCACCTTCAGTCTCCCGTGACCACGGCTGCTGCAAAGCATCCGAAACGTAGGGCCGTCGTTGTTAAATTAAAAAGTTAAAAATTAATAAGTTAACATATATAGTTCGCGTTTTTAAACAGTTAAAAGTGTGTTAAACAATTGATAATCTTTTTCACAAAACAACTAAATAAATGCTTTCATAAAATTGGTTTTTAAAGCATTAACATTGAAAATACCTATTATGTTGTTATTATGTTTTTTTGTCTTTATTAAATAACTTCACTAGTTAGTTTCTTACCCATAGACAAAATTCTCGCAGACTTCCGTCTCATCGATACACTATCACTTAAGACACAAAGGAATTAATACGATTCACCCTCAGTCCAGACCGGAAGAAGGGCTCGGACCGGAAACATCCGGAACGTCGGACATTTTATTGATTGCGGCTAATCCATTTCTAGCGTTCAGGGATCCAGTCAAATAGAAACCATCTATTTAATAGCTAAATTATTTGTTTTCTGCAGGTTGGGAGGCTTTAACGCCACCAAATATTTGACGGGCTTGTAAATATCAAAGGGTAACGAACCAACGGGTTCGACCCCTACCAGGCTCCCAACATGTTCCCAATCTGGATATTAAGTAGTGCGAATATCTAAATTCCGGCCAGGTGGACAAAGTATGCAGATTACGCAATTTTTAGTTTGAACGAATTATTTGATTCATTCCGACCTTCCGACAGATATAAGTTATAACGGTTAATGGTTAGGTAAAGTTATTTTATAATGATACATCTATTAACGCAAATTGCAAGATATCATTA